CAGTCTCTAGCTGTATAATGTTAGATAGGCCTCTTTTGCACAAGTTGGTAATGGGAGAGGTAGGATTTTGAGGAAATTATTCAGTCCTGCGTCCTATCCCGAAGTATATATAATAATTTAGAGCATCGAAACGATGACCTGAAACACTCTCAGACGTTTCTCCAGTAGCATTAGAGGCGCCTTTCTTAGCACGAACTAGTTGTCAGGGTGACAAGAGAATTTAATCCCCACAATCGATTTTCTGATCGATCGTTTTGACATCTCCATACAGAAATAGGAGCTGGGACAAGACGGTAAGGAAAATTGCCTAAATTTATCACCTTGACGAGTTGTAACTAGATGTAGTTCTAGTGAGGCAATGTCTTAGAAGTTGAATAAAGCCCAGCCACCGATGATGCCGGCGAAAGATCTTGGAAGGCATCATTTCAGCAAACAAATTCTGGAAATTAACAGGACTTTTATGACAAAAGACACAAAACTGGATACGTTCCACATGTTCTGCCTTCTCTCCTGACCAATTTGCGAAAACGAGGTCATAAAAGGTTATATTACTAAAAAGCAAGGTGTAAAAAAGTATTAGAGAAGTGTACTTTGTCAAACCTTTGCTTATTGCGCCCTGAAATGCTACCTTCTCTACAAATTTTAAGGCAAATAATAGACGCAGCATAATGGCAAAGAAGATTGACTAGAATGCACATATGCTTTTAAAATTCTATGTACGAGTATTTCGAGTTTTTATGAAAATGCCAAAATTTAAGCCTATCAAAAGTATAGTTCCAGAGAAAGCGACTTATAAAGTGAAAAAAGCACTCACTAGAGACCCAAGCCTCATACCTCTTAGCTTTCAGAAGATAAATTTTAGCATAAAACAAGACTGACTTCGTTGTAGGAATTGAATATTGAGGTTAATTTTTAATTAGTGCTAGGATCTATTAAATGGTAATCATATACTTGTTTTTGGAGTGTGAGGGTTGAAAATTGCAGATGACCAGGAATATGAGATAAGATATAAATTTATATAAAACTATTTAATATCGTTTGCGTAACTTGGTTGTGTTTTTAGAGGAACACGGATGAATGCAATTTGTCAGGAGTTTTCTGCTAAGGTATTCGGGATATTTTCCAGTTTCCGGCCCTTGACTTGATATATTCAAAGACTTTTTGCCAGCATTGTAGTTGGCATTGCCATTCCTAGCCAAAAGAAAAGTCTGCAAATGTATCAAGTCCACGGTCCGAAGCTAGAAATTATCATGGTTAAGAGACAGAGGACTCCGGACAGATGCGTTCATCTAGGCTCCCTTGACAAAAGCGAGGTCAAACTATCTAATATAAGTGTATATCTAATCCCTTAAATTCCTAATCATACGCCATCCTTTAAATGAATCCGATTTTCTAAGCTCCCCTTTCAATTTTTCTTACAAAAGTGCAATAAAAATTTTAAAATGCTTGAACCAGCTATATATGGGTTGATAAAATAAAATTTAGATTTATTTTAAATCAACCCGATAATGGCATCAATAATGCATAGGTCGACTACGAATGGACAAAAATAGCAAGCCACAAGCAACCAACAAGCCAGCTTTGACTTCTTGATTATTAGCAGCATACCTATACCATAGATCAGAAATTTTATGAAGATTAGAGCAAATATGTGAAATTGCCACAAGTGGGAAGAAGAATGACCAGTCTAAGAATATACATTGGCACAAACATAAGATTTATTCCCCTTACTGGCGGAGAGCAGAAGAATTCCTTGAGGATGGATGGCCAATCCTGTAACCGCGTCCAGATGGGCAACCATTGTATGTCGGGCTGGAGATTGGATGAGAGGAGGCCAGATCGAAGACGAACATTCAGAGGCAGCATGAACGACTCGAGGTACGGCAAGGCTCACATCGAAGAAACGGATCTGCCGGTCACTGTGAGCACTGACCAACAAAGGCAGAGTTGGATGAGAGACTAAGCAATTGACGCCAGGGTGCATATGCCGCACAGGTGAAGACGAGGTATTAGAGGCTGCAATAGTGTCTTTGAGAGAGGTCGCGAGAGGTTTGTCGATTCATAGACAGAACACCAAACAAGAGTGAGATGTAAATCGAGAGGAGAGATTGTTTAAAGAATACATGAAGAATGGGCTACAACCGACAACTGTTACTAAGTCATCAGCTCTTCCCCAAAGATAAGAGGATTGGTGGGAAAATGAATATCAAGAAACCTTAAAACAAAAGCAACTCATTCGATAAACATACAAATATAAGAGAAAAGCACCTTTGTTCAAGTCACTGGAGCCCGCTTGCACCTTCTCGATCTCATAGCGAATGACAAGCTGTCCCGTGTCCAGGGCGACGAGGCACACATCACCCGAGGTAAAGCCGACGGCGAACAACCTGGGCTCGACGATCAAATGTGTAATGGCTGATGGTACTGGGGCATTGGCCGACGATTCGCTAGCCCCATAAAGAACAGAGGCAGCCATCAGGTTTGTTGTAAGTGGAAAGACCTGAACGGAGTTTAAACTGGGCCGGGGCAAACCAGAGGAGCGCGTTTGGGCTTTGACAGGAACGGAGGTTATGCCTGTCTTTGTGGTGATAGTGGAATTTTCAGGAGTTAAGTTGTCTTCGGAGTTTGCAGCCACGCCGATGAATGAAGTAGAAGAGAGGGGTGTCAAGGGGCCGGACGAAGATGGCAAAGAAAAGATTCCAGGCTTGACATTCCATAAGCGAGCGGTACCATCAGCCGAAGCTGAGAGCAAGGCACCATCGGGCTGTATGGTGAAAAATAAAAGTACAAGAAAATACGAAGGGATAATAATAATCATCAACAAAGGCTTTAGGTGCCATCCAAGCCAAATACAGTAAAAGTTTATGTGCAAATGTAGGGCCATGCGGCTTCATTATAAAATGAAGTCGCGTCATTAAGGGAATCTGTTTGGATCTAAACGCTAATAATGATGACCAGTAGAAATGCAGAAAAAAATGGAGTGGTACTTATTAGGACAACACTAAAGAAAATAAAATCAGTGCCAGCATAAGCAGCGTAATGGGGTA